ACTTTATACCTACTGGTCTTTATAATACGGCTTACAAGATAATTACCAAAATTATTGCCAATAGACTAAAACAATTCCTCCCTAGTCTAACTAGCCCAACACAATCTAGTTTTATAAAAATAGGAGAGCTAGTGATAAAGCTATTGTTATTCAAGAACTTATCAACAATATGCGCACCTTTAATAGCTCTAAATATGATATGTTATTGAAAATTGACCTTGAGAAGGCTTTTGATAAGTTGGAATGGGATTTTATCCATAAAGCTCTTATATTCTTCAAATTTCACCCAAAAATTACTAAACTTATTATGCATTGCATTTGCACAAGTCAGATTGGGAATCCATGTTAACAGAACCAAGACCAAGTACTTTAGCCCTAGTAAGTGACCCTATGTCTCCATACATATTTGTACTATGTATGGAACTTATATCTAGGCTAATAGAAAATCAAGTAGATACCATGCTCTGGGATCCGGTTAAAATTAGCCCTAGGGGGCCTTCCTTTTCCCATCTATTCTTTGTGGATGATCTAACTTTAATTGGCAAAGCTAATCAAAAAACAGGTAATTGTATTAAGTGTTGCCTAAATTTATTTATGGAAGAAACTGGTCTGTCTATTAACTATGCTAAATCCAGACTTGTCTTCTCAAAAAATGTCCAAAAGACATTACTTCTTACTTTGCAAACTTATTCAATATGAAATTAAGTTTTGAGTTTGGAAAATACCTTGGTTTCCCCATTTTAACTCTCAAACCAAAGCTCAAGATTTCTAATTTGTCATTGATAAAATGCGTACTAAACTCTCTCTGTGGAAATCTAATCTTCTAAATATAGCTGGAAAAACTACTTTAGCAACCTCCACTCTTAGTGCCATACCCTCTCATGTAATGCGATACACAATGCTCCCTACAAAAACCTTGAGCCAAATAGATAAAATCCAGAGAGATTTCATATGAGGTACCACTAATACAAAGAAAAAATTATACTTAGTGAATTGGAAGACTGTCACAAAGGATAAATCAGAAGGAGGGCTAGGAATCCGCTCAGCATTAAAGAATATGGTCTTACTAACAAGCCTAAGTTTGAGACTTCTTAATTATCCTAACCATCTTTGGGCACAACTAATTATCAGTAAATATGCCTATAAAAAACCCTCTATAAATTATTCATTTATTTGGGCAGCTCTAGTGAAAGGTTGGAAAATATTCATGCAAGGAACAATGTGGTACCCATGTAGGAACTCTACTATTAATGTTTGGATGTCCAGATGGATCTATAATTCCCCTAACCTTAGAAATAGTATAGAAGGCCCTCATCATCGATCGGATTATAGCATCCCTCTTCAACAGCTAATAAATGGTAATAACTGGGATTTATCAAAAAATATCATTTGTTCTCCCCGGCCCCTTAATCAAAAATATTAAAGCCACTCCAATACCTAGCCACTCAAATGGTAAAGATCATATGACTTGGGATATTAGTAGCAGTGGATTGTTTACCTCTAAGTCGTGTTACAAGCTTTTACAAGAAAACTACTCGACTAATCCGGATAATAAGACTTATTATAAATGGATTTGGAATCTCCAATGCCCTAATAAAATTAAGTTCTTTATTTGGCAGTGTATGCATAAAAAAATACCATGTAAAGCCTACCTCCACCATATTGGAATTAATATTGATTCCAATTGCCCCATTTGCAAAGAAGGGCAAGAAGATGCCACTCATATCTTCATTAGGTGTCCTATAGCTACCCGTTTCTGCTTGAAACTTGGCCTAACTCCGAGACAAAGTGAGAAAGAAACTCACTGTCTAATTACCCTTAAAAATTCAAACCTACATGGCAGTGATCATCATAATCAATGGGTTAGTATTTTTCCTTTTGCGATTTGGAAACTTTGGAAGAATAGAAATAATAACAATGTTAACAATCTTGATCTAGATCTTGCGAATATGGTTTCTATCAATCATGGGAATATTCTTTTTTCACTGAAAAAACCCTCTCCAACAATCAAAAATCAAAATTGACATTCATTGGTCAACACCCCTTCTAAACACGATCAAGCTTAACTTTGATGGTTCCTTCCTAAAGACAAAGTTACATGCAGGTATAGGAGGAGTCTTTCGTAATAGCAATGGCAACTGGATTATGGGATATTACAAATCTTGTTATGCAACATGTCCTTTGCAGGCAGAGTTACTAGCACTGGAGCAGGGACTAAAAATAGCTTTGGATATGTCATTCCCTACACTAGAAATTGAATCAGATTCCTCAGACATAATAAAAATTATTATTGAAGACAATGCACTCACTAACAATACATTACTCAACTGCAGTTCATTGATGCACCAACTGAAAATCCCAATGATCAGGCACAACTTAGGGAAGGCAATGCAGTGGCGGATCGTCTAGCTAAGGAAGCAATCAAATATTTCAACCCCGATAGATGTTATCACCTTGCACGTCCACCTCTTTTTGCTGAAGCTGTTTTGGAAAAGGACGTACAAGGTCTTTGTTTTGGATCTAAACTATTAAGTACCAGTGTTTGTAATAGTCTAGTTGCTTTAAACAATAGTAATGTCCTAAGGGACTATGTAGTGACTATTTAAATCTTTTGTTATTATTAATATATGCTTCCTTAACGTTCAAAAAAAAAAAATATGACAGAGATAATTTCAGCACAATATAAGCAGTAAGTCACCGTCAAAGGGAAGCTTTCTAACGTAAAAGTACCCATATTTCAGTTGAAACAGATTATGTTGTGGCCATTTTATGAAGAAATCAGTAAACGAAACTTCCTCCATCAATGGCAAAATTGGAACATAATCCAAAATGAAAGCTTAATTGGTACTTGTACTGTGATTTCTCTTCTTTTAATGTTAGACGTTAGAGCAAGAAAGTACTGAAGATCTGATTCTCTCTTAACAGTCATATATGAAGAAAATTCAAGGAAACTTCTATTTACTTCTTCCTATACTCCAAAGTGTGCTATAAGAATCATTTTGACATATATATTTTGGGTTTCATTTCCTATTCTTTGTAGGCGGTCTACGCCAGTTTTGGGTTATGGCTCGAATTCTGCGTCAACACGTGATGTCTTATACATTGAATTGTCCCTATTTCTTACTCTTTGTAAGTTAGTGGGGGAGATACGTCAACATTTATGGCCAAATAAAATTTCTTTGAGCTAAGCAAAACTTTACTCTAATTGTAGAAAAATGTCTCAAAAAGAAATACAGAATTGTGATCCAACCATTAAATAACTCTTCATACTGATGTGTAAAAAAATACTGACAATAAATATAACTTAAATTTCCGCTCACATCAACTTGGCTCATAAAACCCTATATATCCCTTATAATTAAGCATCCTTATAAGCATACAAGTAGTATGATAGTCTCGATATTCATACGATTTTTTTTAAATAATATTTATTATATTCAGTTTGAAATGAAAGGATCATCGAATAATCTCATTCAAATAAAAAAGATAGGAGATAAATTATCCGAAATCAGGATTGAATTGCACTCTAATGATTACAACTCGATTCAAGTTAGATTAGAATTTCCATTATGATCCTTTGCTCGTCTTCTTTCTCTTCTTCATATTCCTGGATCCATCACTCCCAAAAAGCTTTTAAAAAGACTGAGCTGGCCTAAAAAGCGGTTTGACTCTTTACGTACGATGCAGGCTCCACTAAATACGTATCGATTTCTTGCTGATGAATCAAGAATAGATCATTTGTCTTATCAATAGATAGCTAGAAATAGGAGATTTCCTCTTATTCTTGAGAGCTCCCTTCTTTATCTTTTTTTATCTATCAGAACAATTAAGATAATTATCCATCAATCGTTTTAAAAATAACAGGTTCCCTGTATATTCTCCACCTATTTGCGGATAATTTTCAACTTTTTGTATCCGTCTTCACATAGATCTCCAAATCATAAGACAATAACAAATCTTTCCATTTTCCAAGCCGATCCGATCCATTCGTTCGTAGAGCTATTTACTCGATCGCATGACATTTCTGGAACATCTCTAACAGAGGGGCAAATAGTCAATTTTAAAAGAACTTATTGTCAACCTCTTTCAGATACGAATCTATCTGATTCAGAAGGGAAGAACTTGCATTAACTCACTTCCTTTTTTCTGTGTGAGTTTCGGAAATATCCTCATTCATAGGTCCGAGATCTACATCGCCATCTTAAAGAAAAATAAAATAGGCTATATATTCAATGAGCAGTAGTTGGTGAGGTGAGAATGAGATATGCACTCATGAAATTCTTACCTTAAAAGTTTTCCACATGAAACAACTATCGAGCTATCAATACAATATAACGTACCAAATACCACTCAACCTCATTTTCTCAAGACCATAAATTTTATTCTACATGTCATGAGCACTCAATAACACATGTTGTTCATTCTTTTAATCTTTCACTATTTTACAATGATTTTATTTTATATAGTATATTCTTTTAGTTTTCTATTCGGTATCTGATACCCATATTTACCAAATCCGAAATCGTGCCAGAAAACACCTTAATACTGGAATAAAACGCTTTCTAAAAAAGGTAATTCCATATATATCCATGGTTCGAATCCAAAACCTCTAATTAAAAATGAATGAGTACTTACTGTTCACTCCACCATAATTAAATCCGAACTCACATCGAAAAATTCCTCATTGGAGGCAAAACATTTTCTAACAAAAATAACTTCATACCCATGGTTTGAATTCGAAACCTCTAAATAAGAATGAAGGAACATTTATCGATCACTCTACCACAACTCTTGTCGGTAATGATTTTACTTTAAATAGTACTTGCATAAACCTATAGAGTCCCTACACCCATTTTCAGGAAAGAAAACAAGTGAAAATATTTCTCTTTTTAGGGTTTAGCACCTGTTTTCCTTCCCATAACATTACGTGGAGCTCATGCAAACTTATAGAAAACAAAACAAACTTAGCGAAAATTCTAGGAAACTTCAAATTCCAACCCCCATTTCTTGTCCTCTATAAACTCAAGAAATACAAGTATAAACTATAAAGATGCATACAATTTCCCCTTTTTCTTACAACAAATTCTATTCATCTTAATTGATTTTTTCATTTTTTGTATTATGGGTTCTCTAAGTGATTTGGAGAATGGAGAAATTAATAAAAAAGAGCAAGAATTCATCAAAAAGAATGCACAAAATTTGTCAAATTCTATGATGAGGAAAAAATCAGATCCAGAACTTGTATCAAGAGTTCGTTTTAAGAAACTAAGAGAAATCTTGAGTAATCTTCAAGAGGTTATATTAGGAACAAAGCTTTGTTTGCTCTTTCCAGTTATCCCTTTGGCAATGCTAGCTCAATACTATCATTTTGCAAGAGTAAGTATTTGCTTAATTTTCTCCTCATTTAATTTGTTATATACATTTGTCTTTCAAAACTTTGATTTTAACTGTTATACATTGACAGTATAAATAAATTTTTACGCTATCAGACTACTTAAACGATTAACTGCATGTAATCGTTCGTAATGGATATATACTGATAGTGTAAAGAATTTTTACACTATCAGTATATTGTAACTTTTACGGTTACATGTAGTCAAATTAAAACGGTTACATGTAGTCAAATTAAAGAAAAGAAAAAAAAAACAGGTCAACAACATCAATATATGTATATTTGATTGATTGACTTCGGGCCCGACGAGCGTCCATATGAGTTCGTTTATATTTCTTTTAGATGTAATATAAACAGTGCTATCTTATCTTTTAGATGACCTGATATACAGTGCTAGTATAAAAATTTACTCGATCATATCACGTAAAAGGCAATTACATGTAATATCGATGTATATAAATTAATTTATACCTAAAATAAATAGAGTAGAGAATTTGTGGAAAAGCTTCAAAGTATGAATGATCATGTTTATATTTCTTTTTTTGAACAGCCCTGGATTTTTGCTTTTAGTTTACTTGGACTTGCACCGCTTGCTGAACGTGTCAGCTTCTTGACTGAGTAAGTTGTTTCTTTTTTTTTTATTCTTTTTAACTCCTATTTTTAATCTATTGACAAAATTCCTAACACAATTATTCTTTTTTTTCTCCCTTCTACCTGAAATTAAAAAAGACAAATTGCTTACTTCACTGGTCCAACAGGTATGCGTTTTGTTCTTATACTTCCCAGAATATATATATATATATATATATATATATATATATATATATATATATATATATATAAGTACATAAGTTGAAAAATAAATAATGATGCATGGTTAATTATTATGATTTAATGCAGTTGGGGGTCTACTAAATGCAACATGTGGAAATGCAACAGAGATGATAATAGCATTATTTGCTCTTTACCAAAGGAAAATACATGTTCTAAAGTATTCTCTATTGGGATCTATTCTTTCCAACCTTCTTCTTGTTCTTGGAAGCTCTCTTTTTTGTGGAGGATTGACCAACCTTAAAAAGGAACAGAGATTTGACAGGGTAAGTTCACATCAATAAAAATTTATTTTAAACTAAACAATATTGTAGTTTAATTTATTATAGTATGTTAGATACTCCTTCTATTACAGTTTATATGAACCTATTTTTTTTTTTGGTCCGTTCCAAAAAGAATGACCTCTTTCTATATTTGGTAATAATTTAACTTAAACTTACAATTCTACCCTTAATGAGAAGCTTTTATAACCACACAAATACTCTGGGCCCCCTTTTGACTTGTTTAGGACCACAAATTCCAAAAGTCTTTCATTTTTTCTTAAACTCCGTGCCCACTCAAACAGGTTCACATAAATTGGAACAGATGGAGTACCATTTTTATTAGGTTGCCGAGTAATATATATATCGTAACAATTTACCTACAAGCAATCGGATTGTAGAAAGATTTCTTACACGGTTAGTGTATAAAAGTTAAACTCCATACATAATGAGTTTAACTTCTATACATCGATTGTGTAAAATATATCATATACTTTACCTACAAGCAATCGGATTGTATAACGATTTCTTATATAGTCAGTACATAAAACTTAAACCCTATACATAATGAGTTTAACTTCTATGTATCGAGTTTGTAAAAGAATTTTACACTATCAAGTAACCTAAAGATATGTCAAGAATTACTATCCATGCAGAATAAATTTACATAATAAGTAAAACTAGTTACTTAGAAAGTAAGTTAGCCGACCTGCTATGAAAGATTAAATTACACTAATAGCAAGCTTAAAAATTATCTACGCTATCATGTATATTAGTATATATAAGTAAAATTCACACTAAATTTGCTATCCGTGGCCAAGCCACCTTTTGCCAAAGGATGTCATCAATTGACACCCTTTCGTCGGAAAATTACATGGTGTAACTAGGTTTTGTGTGTATATATATAGTATTGCTTCAATACATATATTTTTTTGTACTGACATTTATCTTTCAATTTTGGGACAGGGACAAGCTGATGTAAACTCACTTCTCCTTTTACTGGGATTGCTTTGCCACATGTTGCCACTTATGTATAGATTGTCTGTTGTCGAGCCAGTACTTAACAATAATGTAACAACTTCAATATTGGGGTTGTCTAGAGTTAGCAGCATTTGTATGCTTGTAGCATATGCTGCTTATCTCTTCTTTCAACTGCGAACACACAGACAAATGTTTGAATCCTCCGAGGAGGTAATGTTTTTCTATTTTTAGAATAATATATATTGTCATATTCTAAACCACTCATCCGGCACACAAATATAGTGCTCGGACTCTTCAAAAATGCCGCCAGTGCATGTCGGATGCTCCAAAATATTGGTATATTTTTGGAAGATTCAACACGAGTGCGGCAACATTTTGAAGAGTCCAAGCAACATTGACGCCCACCTACCCCAAAAAAGGGAATAACAACAAGTTAATTACATTTTGAAGTTTAACATCTAGATACTGATATCGTGAATAGATTTTTACACGATCAAGTCATTTAAAAGATAGCTATTAGTAATTCCTCATAGTAAATGAAATTAGTAACATGGAATATAAGACAGGTAACCTATTCAAACAAGTTAATTAAATTGCATTGAGAGTGTAAATTTTTTTTATACCGTCGGTGTATTAAAATTAAAGTTTTTATTTCGATGACAAATGAGTAGGAGGAAGAAGATAAAGTTATGGAAGATGAGGCAGTGATTGGTTTTTGGAGTTCATTTGCTTGGTTGATTGGCATGACAATTACTATTGCTATATTATCAGAGTACGTCGTAGGTACAATTGAGGTAAGCTTTGATAATAAATGTACGGATTTAATTGCTATACACTGACAGTATAAACTATTTCAACCTCCTTGTAGCAGGTAACTTGTTTTATTACTGATGCTACTAATTTCATTTTTTATGGACGGTTTAATTACTATAATTTCAATCTCAGGATGCATCAGATTCATGGGGCATTTCAGTGAGTTTCATAAGCTTAATATTGTTGCCAATAGTTGGAAATGCTGCAGAACATGCTGGATCCATCATATTTGCTTTAAAGAACAAGTTGGTAAGATATACAATCTAACACTACAAACTCCTTAATTACATTATTCTATTTCAGAAGAGAATATAATTAATTAGTATTCTAAATGTACCAAATGCAGGATATATCTCTAGGTGTTGCCTTGGGATCAGCTTCTCAGATTTCTATGTTTGTGGTGAGAATTTAATTGACAATATTTGTTTCTTTATGTATATATTTCCCAATTTCTTTAATTTTTAGCTATTTTTGTCTAGAGCTTAACTTTTACACACATATATTATGAAATAGCTTATACGATCAGCTCACCTAAAAGATAATTTGGAATAACCGTTCATAAAATTAAAGTGGGATTACTAACTTGAAAAATAAGGTAGGTTACATACTACAACAAGCAATAATATAATATAAAAGAATTTTACACCATCAGAATTGCAAAAGGGCAGCCCGGTACACTAAGCTTTCGCTATGCACGGGGTCCGGGGAAGGACTGGACCACAAGGGTCTATCGTACACAGTCTTACCCTGCATTTCTGCAAAAGGCTAGTTTCCACGGCTCGAACCCGTGACCTCCAGATCACATGACAGCAACTTTACTAGTTACCCTTCACATCGTCACTGTAGTATAAGTTAAATCGGTTTGTCTATATGTCACTTAGGGGGGTGGTTGTTTTTTTTTTTTTTTATAAAATAAATTTTCCCAGGTTCTCTGGGGGTGCTGTATTTATAGAAAAGATAGTTATCTTCCTTACAACACAAGGGTAAAGATTACCCTTCGAAATAAAAAGGCATCGGTGGCGACAAAAATAAAATATTGGGG